CTGCGAAGTCACCTACAGTCAACAATACAAGCAAGTATAAATAAATGCATTGATGCTATATTGAAACTTTTGTTTACTTTATTATACACCACATGATACCTTGTTGTTTTATGGTAAGCAAGTTGTGTCCCTCTTTAGACTGGCACAGTCTGGGCGATTTCTTTCTTTTTTAGGTTTGAATTAAATAAAAATATGGCAAAATGAAGGTGTTAATGCAAAATCCCCTGTAACTGCAAAAACACCCCAAATTTCACAAAACTAGGTTTTTTATTATTATAATTTAACTGAAAAAAATCACCACAGGTGGGCCAGTCTCGTGAAAAAAAATTGGAATTACAATGAATTCAGGGTGGATACAAACTAACAATGCACTCACTGTCAAGTACGATATTTTCCTTGTGGAAAAGTGAGAGAATAAAAGTTTTGAAACAGTACAATAACATATTTAAACAAAATGGGGAATATACTCCAGATTATATTTTAGGTAGGAACAATTCTAACCAAAAATCTTATTGCATCATACAGTACTAGTGTGAAAGCTAGTTGAATTTCTGACCAAAAATGAGCAAGAATAATTGCAATTACATAAAATAATTAACCAATAGTCATGTTCCTTAATTAATAATACATGTACTATATTAATCCCAAGGCCCCTTAGAATAATACAATATGCAATATGTGATGAACGGTTGGATGGACAGATAGACAGAACCAAATTCATAAGCCCCCAGACTGTGTCCAGTTAAGGCTAATAAATGCTGGAATATGTGTAATAACATTTTGTACATTTAATATTACATGTACATGTATCATGATCCTTTACAGAATAACATAACAAATAGTACATCAATATATTTAAGAAAAAAATTTGTGGGAGAAATACGAGCTAACTTGGTGGTAAAAATTATTTATACTACCATAAAATCTGTATTAGAAGCCGTATCCCTAATAGAAGTCGCACCCAATTTCTCATATGTGTAGATGCTCTAATAGAAGCCGCATCCCCTCTGTTGCATAGTACCATTTTAATAGAAGCCGCAGTTTCTAATACAGATTTTACAGTACATTATGAAAACAACACATCCAGTTATTGCAATATCTAAGTACATGTAACAGATTTTAGGGAGGATATTACTAACATCTGGTTCTCAAAATTAGCAGTGCAAATGTTTTTATTTATTTTAGCCAAATTTTCATGTACATTTACTATACTAGTCACACCAACTTGGTTGATATTCTATTGTGATTGATAAGATTTAAACGTTTTCAATGATACAAAAACTGGAGTGCAAGACAAAATGTCATAGCTCACCTATCGCAATAGATTGATTCAATTCACACGTTGCATGTTTAAAAAATATGTCACTATCATTGTTTCTGAGTATATTAAAAACATGTGACGCAGTGATTGCATGTGTGCATATTTTTATTGACGAGCTGACAAAGAAGATGTAGCTCACATCAGTTATGTGAATGTCATCAGCATATCATTAGGTGCCAACAAACGTGACAAGAAATGGCCATGCAAGTGTGGCATTTTCTCTGTTGTGTTTTTGGTTGTAACACAGCCCTTCTTTAAAAAACGTGCAGCAATGGAGGGAATGACTGATGCTGCAATTACCAATCCCTGCTTATTTATTTACTCAAAAACACCATTTTACCTGAAAATGGAAATGGTAATTCATGGAAGGATCACTTGTATTTTTTTATATTTTGGAAGTCTCAGTTGCTGCTCGTAACAGCACACTTCACCTCCAGATGGGGAGGGAGGGAGCCTCATACACACCTCCCCAAATATAAGAAACCACAATGTTTACAAACAATACAATCGGAATCAATATAAAAAAAAACATTCCGCATGCATCGATTTTGAAAAAATAAAATTAACTGGAAACATTTGTTTTTGCCACTTCTTTTAAAGGTTGACACAGAGTCAACACTGAAGGAATCAATAAAAGCTTAGAAAGAACTCCTGTGTGCAGAAGATATTGGAGGCATAGGGTACACATAAGGAATACTGTGTTTACTATACTTAGAAGCACATCTTCAATACACATAAAACAAAAATTGTGTTTATTTCATGCAAAATCATTGAAATGTCTTATTTCCACCATTGACTTGTGTTTGTCCTTTATAGTTAAAGTAAGAACAAACGTGTCCCATCACTTTAACAATATGGATAATTTGTTGCCATAGTTTATTTATTCTGTACAGTGGTTATGTTTGAGCAAGGACACTCGTGTCTTTGGTTTGAGGCAACAGTGAGAAGTAGCTGCGGTTCTGTAGCACCTGATTTTGACTACCTTTATTTTGTTCCTACTGACGTTTCTTGTCAATTGCTATCCTGAGCTATGGGAGCTCCTGTAGGTAATTTCGTGAAATAGTGTCCTGCAAGTTGATGCTAAATAACATGGATAATTTTTCAACACAAGATTTTCGTTGAAAAACAACACACTGAATGGTAAATTTCTGTTGTACCTACATGCATGTAAACATAAGGACCACCACTGATATCCAAGAATTTTATCTCATAATATCATATAGCCATAACTGATCCTAAACTGTTAAAAATCACTGAGAAATTACTCTTAGACAGTCGCTTGTAAACATACAGATAAACATCACACATCGTGATATTGTGTATATGTGAATGTAAAATGGGGGCGACAATATCGCTATGTGACATAACCCGATGACAAGCAATTGTTGGCAGTGAAGTTTTTATCCTCTATGGACCCCCCCCCCCCCCGATTTCAAATGGTCAAATCCTAACCGCTTTGACGGAAACTTGAATGGGAATGACTATTTTACTTTGCATTTGAGACTACCATCGATTTACATGGCAAGAAATATACCCAGTCTTGCAATGACGTGATTGTGAAATTGACAGGTGTATCTTAGTCCTAAGCTTGCGAAAAATGTTACTGATTGCGCCCATTTTCGTACTTACGACTGCCCGAGAAAGCCGCCATGTTTAGAACCGTGACTACCAATCAGAACAACTGTCTTATTTTTCTGGCGCTTTAATCGGACATTTTCGACCAATCAAGCAATACGTTACTAATTGTCAAGGCTTGCCTTAAAACCGTAAACATTCTGAACTCGGCTAGGGATAGGCTTGTTTTTTTTAGGGCGATGTAGTTTTGACACAATCACAAACCCCTTCTCGTAATTGATGAAGACACAATGGTCCGATGATGGGATTGTAATGCTCATGAAGTTGAAGAAAGCTATTAAATTGTCTCCGCGATCTGAACTAAAAAGTCACAACTTGACAGTGACTTGACGCTAAAGCAGAGGTACGTTTGTTCATGGAGGTACAATGTACCTCCAAGGTTTGTTCAACACCTACTAATAATGCTTCGAAGTAGTTTTCCGTTTTTTGATTATTTTCACTGAAAATCAACAAATTCTAATCTTAGTGTCATTATGAGCACTGCCACAACCCTCCAATATTGACATATGCATAGAGTAACTTATAAATCAGAAATATAACAATATAAATTTTACAAATTCAGAGAAACTGAGTTCTCTCCATAATTCTTCGTTGCCACTTTGTCCCATCCTACCACTAACATTATTATTAACACTGACCATGGAGCAAAGGCCACAATAAAGTATGGTACATAGTGCCTTATAGCAGTTTACATATATTCATGTTGTGAATATTAAATACAGTTATCATTTGACAAACTATAATTGCATATTATTTTCAGATAGCACTAAGTAGTCAAATACATCATGGCAAGTTTATTGGTTGAGTTGCATGTTTGGTCACTGAAGAATCCTATTGCTATAGCTGGTATGTGTAACCTGTGTACAATAACATTCTAAATAGTACCAGTAATGTAGGTAGATATTGCAAGGTGTATACAGTATATGTATAAATACATAACCCATGGAGTCATAGACTCTAATGTAAGGTTTATGTAATTATGCTAGTTATTCTATTTTTCTGTATACTTTTATTCGCATAATTCGCATATTTTCTATCGTCTGTACATGTACCGGTATATTGCAATTTCCAGCATTAAAGTTTCTGCTAATATCTCTGTTGAATTGAAATTATATTCTAAGAATGTAGCAAAAGCATATTTATTTTTAATAATATACTTATAACTTACAAAACCAACTTTTACAAATTTACAAGATGATTAGATTGGCATTGCAAGTACATATGTACCTCCCTCCATCCCATGGGGTCAGTGACGTAAATTAATTAGTTTTGGTCGACACAAAAATCATGCCATGGACCTGCAGTTTTAAGGTGACAACTACTAGTAGTCCTAATATAGAGAGACAAATTACAAAAAAACATATTCTAATTTCTAACACTTTTTTGTGGTATTAATAGGGAGATATATTCTAAACATGCCTCGTGCAGTTGTGTATGATGCTGATTGCATACTGTCATTTCTTCGCCAACTAGAATACAATTTACATCTTACATTGGTAAAGCTTTCGATTTCTACCCTGTCAGCAATACGGTGCTGCCAACAGTATCAACACACATGAATGACTTTGAAAATGAAATTTCCGATTGAAATGAAATACTAATTTTGCATACAAGTTTATAAATAACAACCAAATCACTGTAGACAAGACTAAATTACTCACTCCCAAATGTAAAGTATCAAATACAATCTGATTATAAATGAACTTATGATATGTACGGTACTTTAGTTTTGGGGAAATTGAACGCTCACCATCT